TATCCATTGTGGTGCCCAAAAGGACGGGACCTTGTCCTTAAAAACCTGTAGTTTTTGTAGTTTTGTAGTTTTTGTACCTTGCTGTTTAAAACTCAGTATAAGGTAGTTATTTAAAGATAATTATATTTTATTAGGATGGGAGTTGGACTCCACCAGGGCTGCCCATTGTCACAATTCTGTTCATAACTTATGGACAGAATTTCTCTGTGCAGTTTGTTGGCCTCAGGATTCCAGCTCTGCTCTTTGCAGATGATGTGGTCCTGTTGGCGTCATCGTGCCGTGATCTCCAGATCTCACTGGAGCGGTTCGCGGCCGAGAGTGAAGTGGCTGGGATGAGAATCAGCACCTCCAAATCTGAGGCCATGGTCCTCAACTGGAAAAGGGTGAATTGCTCTCTTCAGGTCGAGGTTCTGCCTCAAGTGGAGGAGTTCAAATATCTCAGGGTTTTGTTCACGAGTGAGGGAAGAATGGAGCGTGAGATTGACAGATGGATTGGTGCAGCATCTGCAGTACTGCGGACTCTGTACCAGTCCGTTGTGGTGAAGAGGGAGCTGAGCTGTAAGGCAAAGCTCTCTTTTTACCAGTCTGGCTATGTTCCTACCCTCACCTATGGTCACAAGCTCTGAATAGTGACTGAAAGCATTAGATCTTGGAAGCAGGCGGTTGAAATACGTTTCCTTCGCAGGGTAGCTGGACTCTCCCTTAGAGATAGGGTGAGAAGTTCAGTTATCCGGGAGAGACTCAGAGTAGAACAGCTACTCTTCCACATCGAGAGGAGCCAGTTAAGGTGGTTCAGGCATCTGGTAAGGATGCCCCCTGGACACCTAACTGGGAGGAGACCCCGGGAAGACCCATGACATGCTGGAGAGACTGTCTCTCAGTTAGCCTGGGAACACCTTGGAGTCCTCCCAAAAAAGCTGGAGGAGGTGGCTGTGGAAAGAGATGTCTGGACCTCCCTGCTCAAGCTGCTGCCCCCGCGACCCGACTTTGGATCAAGCGGAAGATAATGGATGGATAGGTGGATATTTTATTCCTCTGCATTATTCCCATCACACATGTGAGCACCCATGTGGAGGAGAGGGTTGCCACCTAAGGTGCCTAGGGAGCAGCTGGAGGGTCAAAGGCCCACAGTGGGGCAACTTAAGGTGGAGGCAGATGTCGATGCTTCACCTTTCCCACCCACATTTTATGTGCTGTTCTGCGAATGCGAACTGGAAAATTGCCTATGATGGACTCACTTTCTCTAACCTCTGTAACACCACTCCCCCGTTTCATGATTAAAATAAATCTCATAATTGTTTGCGGGGGAGTAGGTGTGACTTAAAGCTCCACATTATAAGTACGCAGACGCTTGTCCCAAATTTACAGCAGCTTCTGTAAAAAAACACTTCCAGCTGGCTTCAGATCTCAACGAGAGAAGGCATGGCATTCACAGGCAAAATCTGTTTCTGTGTGGGAAAAAAAACGGGATTTTTAGAAAAACTTTCAAAACAATTACATTTTTAAACTTGGTTTTTAACATATTTGTGTAAACTTGACAAAAACCGTCGCAAAATGATGAAACTGCAGCTGAGTACACACATGTCCATATGTTTATGTTCACATTTTTTCCTGTATTGCTCTCACTTTAACCTGATCTTCTCATCATAAAACCTGGACTTTATAAAAAAGTTTGTTTTCGAGGAAAAAATACACAGCATGGAAAATATTGTGTCAGGGTAGGAACATTCTTCGGTTGTAATTTAATGTGCCATTACTGCCAACATGCTCTCATGACATTAAACCATGTTTGTTGGAACGTTGGTTTGCTTCCAGACAAAGAAACTGTTTGTTTCATTAATTTTGCCTCTGTGTTGTGGGCCGTGTCAGGACTGTCTGCCCTGCAGTTCAACTCCTTGTAGAGTTTATTAAAGTTTTTCCCTTGTTGTCATTTTTCTTTTTTGGCTGCCAGCTTTTAAAATAAGCTTAGGAAAAGCGTTTTAAGGCAATTAAGTCAGGTTTACAAACACTGGGTTTGTGGCATTTGAATATTATATTGGGCAAAAAATAAATGATGTACTTTTAAATGAATTTCTAAAGGTTTCAAATAAATGTGGCACAAGGCAGATTTGCACTTTGGCTTGTGACAGATACAAAAAACTCAGTAAATGTTCTCAAAAGCCAGCACTCTGCAAACTGAAACTTCTTTACTTTTGCGCCAGATAAGCCCAATTTCCTGGAAAGTATTTTTTAATTACTGTATTTTTTGCCGTATAAGTCGCACCTTTTTGCAGAAATTTGCAAGTCTTGCAACTTATACACTGAAGTGACTATACATTTTTTTTCCCCATATTTATAACCCAATTTTTGGCTGACGTGACGATTTCATTCATTATGACATGGAAAATATTGAACACTATCATTTTCAGCCGCTAGAGGGCGCTTGACCAATATGGCAATCCAAATGGCTCATTAATAGATAAAAGTGGCTATTAATGAGACACTTGGCTTGCCATACAGGCTACCTTCATCTCGCTCCGGAACTCCAGGAGCAAACATCAAATCAGCTGCATTTCACCTGGGTGGCGTGGCAAAATGCAGCTGATTTGACCATCAAAGCGCATTTATTAAGGAAAAGTTCAACTGAGACACACCTTTACTATAATGTTGAGCAAACAATTGTTTTAAGGTGGTTATCTTGTTAAATTTCGACAAAATACACAGTGAGTCATCCCTCAGCGCACTTCCGTGAATCGATTTTTGAAATGCAGCTGATTTGACCATTATAGTGTATTTATTAAGGAAAAGTTGGACTGAGACACACCTTTGCTATAATTTCAAGCAAACAAATAATTGTTTTTAAGTGTTAATCTTGTTAACTTCTTGTTAAAGTCCTCCTGTGCACGCTCCCACGGCCGCCATTTGGTATCCAATCGATTTTTGGCACACCGGCCCACGTTTCTGGGTGGTCAGCAGTGACGCATCAACAGTGACACATAACAGATGCGACTTATATGGCGAAGCGACTTATTTATGTTTTTTCCCCATTTTATTAGACATATTTGGACTGATGGAACTTATAAGGTTGTGCGACGTGTACGGCGGCAAGTACAGTAATTATTCCTCAAATGCACTTTTTATCTGGCACACAAAGTAGCCCAACCAAAACTCCAAGTTTCCAGCAGATGCTAAGGAGATGTTTTCTTTTATAGAAAACTTGGCTCAGGGCAGTGTTTACCTGAGAAGCAGTGAAGGGAGATGGTGATGAAGAGGTGGTTATGAGGATGAAGGAAGTGATGGAATAGCAACAGGGACTCAGAAGAGAGGAAGTAAGCAAGGAGAGGCACTGACTTCAGTCTGCTTCACCTTAGAGAAACAGAGGAGACTCCGAGATAAGGAGCACAGTTTGGAAACGGGAAGAAAATGAGACAGTGTGTAGGAAAGAGGAGAGAACAAGATGTGAAACGTGACCTGGGGCCTCAGGCAGAAGCTGCTAGAAGCCACAAGGAGGCAGCAGAGCAGTGGGAGCCCTACTCACAAAGCTGCGGGTTGCAGTCAGGCGGCTGCGACGAGAGGTCACCATCGTGCCACTCAGGCTGCGTCCGATTCGCCGCTGACTTTCCCCGTCATTAGGCCCCGCCCCCAGACGCAGATCCCGCAACATCATTGGCTGCAGAGACAGAAAAGGTCCTTTATCACGCCTGAACACGGATCCAGCTGATGACCTGTGTGAACGTGTGCGGGTTATTCTGCTAAAATCAATAAGCAGGTGATGCCTTGTTGAGGTAGGTGGGGGTGTCAGTGCCATCCGCCCCGTACACACTCCTCTCCATGTCTGCGTTGGGAGTCTTGGAGCGCACCTGCCCCCCCATCCTGGATATCAGCCTCTCGGATGGGCTGCAGCCTGAAAACACAAAGGTGGTAAAAACTTGGAATTAATAGCTTTTAACAGACACTCCTGATTTGGGATGTATGGCAGTACTTTGACTAATATAAAATAATAATAATAATAAAGACAACAACAGTGAACCCTGATTAGCCTGGCCGTCCCAGCCAGCTAAGCTTAGGGAACACAAAAATGTCTAACTCAACCAATTCAAAAAACATTAGCCTCAAATTTGGTGTGGTAGTAGTTTTATTCCTAACACTTGTATCAAGTACTACACATACTGCAAGCTTTTTTTGCTTAAAACGTTAACATTCGTTTTTAGCATCAAACTTATTTGTCCATTAGCAAAATATTTCATGGACAACTTGTGAATTTTATTGCATCTCTCAGAAAGTAGCCATTAAACAGATACAATGATTAAATTTTGGAGTACCGTATTTTTCGTATTATGAGGCGCATTAAGTGAAACAAGTTCATTTTGACAGATTTTTGAGCGCCGTGTACCACATAAAATCAGTTCGAGGTCGGTAAGCACAACCAGAATTAATACATATGGTGCACCAGATTATAAGGCTCACTGTCGATTTTTTAAGAAAATTAAAGGATTTTAAGTGCACCTTATGGTCCGAAAAATATGGTAACTCCAATTCTAGATGGACACAACAGCACCGCATTAGACAACACATAAATAGTTGTAACTCAATCATCTTTAAAGAAATTTAACAAAAATTTGGTTTTGTTTTAGTTGAGAATCGTCCTCAACACAAACTCTAAGCGCTATTAAACTCTGAAATTATAATTTACAAGCTTTGATCAAAACAGTTATAACTCTGTTCCTGTTTAAAACAAGAATATCTTAGTCTGAAACCAGTCATAAAACACATGGACGATATGCATTCCCAGAAAGAATGATAAGTTTTACTAATGACATTGATTTGACCCTTCCCTCCTAACAATAGTTTCATTTAGAAAATCCACCCGCTTATCTCAGATAAACTTAAATAGATGCAACTCATTACCGTGTGTGTGTGTGTGTGTGTGCATGTGTGTACCTGTCCTTCCAGCCTGCAGACTGGCCTGGTAAAGAGAGTCCAGCTCAGACAGTTCAGCCTCCTCTCGATCACAGCAGGGATTACCCTGCCGACCCAGAGCATGCTGGGAGCTGTAGTGCCCCGGAGAGGACTGGCAACTGTAGCTGTAGTTCTGACTGGGCGTCTGTGGCCTGATGGGAACGCAGCGGTCGGGGGGCGTGTCGTAGGGCGACACCACGGCGTCGGGGCGGTCCAAACTCCAGGAGGACCAGTGACGTGTGCTGTTGTCAGCGGCGGCTCTACGCTGCTGGTGATGAGCCCTGTCGTCAGGGGAATTGGGCTGGGGGGGCTGCCAGAGCGGTGCAAGAGGTTTCCTTTGCCCAAAAGTTTCCAGAGGGGGCGACGAGGGAGGTGGGGAGTGTGTGTTTTTGAGGTGTGCGCTGTGTGTGATTGGTGTATCCCAGAGACGCAGAGGAAGCGAAGGTAGGGAGATGGCTAAGTGCTTCCCCAGGGGTCTGACACTCACCCCCCCTGCCTGCAGCAACTCGCACAGCCTCACCCCCGTCCCCTCCCTCCCATCCTCGCTTTCCTCCCCTCTCCATCCCGCATGCCTGCCCTCCTCCTCCTCTTGACTGGAGGGGCCGCAAGGGTGAGCAATGCAGAGGGTGAGCGTAGGTCGAGGCCGGTAGGGTGGTGGGGGTGGTTCCTGGCCCTGGGCCACTTCTTGGCTGGGCCTGGCCTGGTCCTCTTCTTCCTCCTGATTGGGCGTCAGCAGTACTTGGACCGAGCCAGGCTGTTCACTGGAGGAGGGGAGAGAGGAGGGTGAGTGGGGGAGTAATGTCAGTCAGCCAGGAGGTGAAAAAAAAAAAATCAAAATACAGAGAAGCTTTGACGTCAGGTGAGTTACTGCATTGAGGGAAGGTCACCACAGCAGGATAAACAAGCAGGCACACACACACGCACACACACACACACACACACACACACGATGATGCAGCCTTCTGCTCTGTGTTGGAGCCATGCTGGTGTGAGTGAGGCACAAGCAAAGCTGAGCTGACAAAAACTTAATCTGATCAAAGCATCAAAAAACACCAAAAGTGTTTTTATCAGAACTTTAAAAGGCAGGAATCTACTCCCCGTGTCGTCCTGCACATTGAATATTTTACTCACTGCTCTGTGTCACTGTATTGATTCACGAGCACTGATTTATTGGACGGATTATACAAGAAGAACATTAGAGGGTCTCCTCTGCAGAGCAAGGTGTTCCGTCAGAACAGCAGTGTGTTGATATGGGCTGTAAAAGTCGGTAAACGTCTCTTTTCTTGTGCAGCGTCCAGCCAAACCCCCCCCCCCCAAACCCCCCTCCTCAACATTAACTTTGGTCTTTTTTTCAAGCCTTAGTAATTACTAAGAAGGCTTTGCAGCAGCAAGCTATAAATCAGAGGCTTATGTTGATCAATAGAAGCGAGGAGGAAGGTAATAAAAGAAGCCGAGTGCCGAGAGCTTTCCTTCCACCTACTCGTTCCCTCCAGTTCTGGTAACACTGATTAACTTTTTTTTTTTTCAATTTCACTTCATTTACTTTTAGGATACAGACTAAAATCGATAATAATAAGTTAACACATCCAATCTTTTGTCTTCGCCTTTATAATTACAAAAAAGTTCATTTCCCTCGGAGTGCCTAAAGACTTGTCATGAATTTCTATGGCAATCTTTAGTGCAAGTATGGGATGTTTTATTAGTACAAAAATAAAAAGGTGAAATGTTTTCCACTCATAATATTAGTAGAGGCAAAGGTTGCTTTTACTGTGTGAATGTTTATGATGCATTCAAACTATTGTGATCCATTTTTCTTCCGTTATGTTTTTCAGTATCCAACAATTTTCAGTCAGGTCATCTGGACAGTTTCTTTTTTTTTGCTGAACTGTTTCACCTTACATCCAGAAGGCTTCATCAGTCAAGGAAACACACAACCCAAAACTGATTCTTCCCCCAAACAGCTTACTCCAAAGTGGAACAAACCAGTTATGTTGGTGCTAAGATGGTGTCTTTGGCACGCCCCCTCCTCTGGAGCCGGCCCTCTTCCTTGTCGACAGTCATGTCAAACTGGTTCAAAACCAAAATAGTCCATGTTGAATTGTATACCTGGATTATTGAGCATGGACTTTTTTGGTTTTTCAGCATCTTTCTTGTTCCATATTTTTTGTGCTATTTCAACAAATCATGTATCACGACATTCAGCTCGTTCAGGAGAAGAGTGCTATGACTTTTGGTATTGGTGCAACTTTAGCTTTTTGAAATATTTAGCCTTTTCTGCCATTTTTTTCTCATAGGAAACGAATTGAGCTCATTTTACGTCCTTCAATTCTTTAGTCATGTTTACAACCTTTTACTGCTCCTTTCACATTTTGTTCTGGTTCAGCTTCTTTCAGCTTCCTTGTACAAATTTCAACTTCAGAATGAATGAAAACAGTCATATCTCAGCCAAAAATTGGTTTATAAATATGAGAACAAAATCCATAAATACATCACTTCGGCGTATAAGTCACAGGGTATGCAAATTCTGCAAAAAAACTTGACTTATAGGGCAAACAACATGGTACCATCCAAATCAAACCACACTGTGATGTTTATTGGTAATGTGAAAAACTTGTGCAGGATTTCTGCTTTGGTTCAAGTTCTTTAATTTAGTACATGTCCAAAAACCTTTTTAATTCTTCGATTCACAAGTTTCAGCAAGTTTCACGCTCTGATATGTCTGAAAAATGGTGAGTTATTAAATATTTTCTTCTGTGAGGACAATTTAAAAAATCTTTCCAAAGCTTTGATTGACAGTAAAGTCAGACGTTATTTATTTCTACAAAAGCTGAAAAGGAGCCATGGTGGGAAAGTGCAGTCCAGCTGTTGCTTCATGAGAAACATCCTGACTTTAAAGCTGTAACTTACAAAATTTTAGGAAGAGCCGATGTCTTTATTTTATATATTTAACATTTGGGCATTTTACTGTTCCAGTTGCATTGGACGAAGAAATAAAATACAACATATGATCCACTATAATATAATATAATTTAGTGGCCTTGATTTGTCAGTCAGTCTGGGTCATCATGTTAAGATATGCTTGTTGTAACTTTTATTTTATGGCAGTACTACAAATAAAATTTAGTTCAACAAATTTTGTAGCTGTGCAAAATCACCGTTCACTATATAAATATTGCTGCTGTCTAAAAACTTGTCCATAATATCAAATTTGTTTCTGTTGTATAAATAATCTTAAGTTTGTTTTCTTTAATTTCTTTAGACAGTTAGGTCATGCTGTAAATGAAGCTCAGTAAATGTATTTATTGTAGACCATGAAATGAGAAACACTTATTTTAAAAAGGTACTTATTGTAAAGTCATGAAGACCGAACAAACAAAAAGTTGTAAAATAATGCACAAAGCTTGAAGAATACATTCATCCCATATTGACAGTGTTTAAAAATAAAATTGTAAGCTAAATTTGTGTTTGTGTTCCAACAGAAACTGCTGAAGTGACTGAAAATAAGTCGTGCATACTACATTTGATTTAACAATGTTCAGTCAGGTCATCTGGACGTATTTTTTTTGTGTGTGTTGAGACGTTTCATCCTTCATCTCAAGGACTTCCTCAATTAAGCCACCAAACAAAACTGATTCCCACAGCATACTCCATAGTGGAAAAAACCCGTTTGCTGGTGCTAAGATGGCCTCTGGCGCCCGCTCTCTCCTCTGTCAACTCCTCTGAGACAGCCATGCCAAAGTGGTTCAAAACACCAAAGTTCATGCTCAATAATCCAGGTTGGACGGTTTCTTCTTATTTTTTTTTTTTTTCGTGCTGAGACGTTTCGTCCTTCATCCAAAGGACTTCCTCAATTAGCACAACAAAAAAAAAGAAAGAAACCATCCAGATGACCTGAATGAACGTTGTCAGATTGTTACACCTGGATTATTGAGCATGAACTTTGGTATATTTGACCAGCTAACACGATAAATGTCTTGCTTTGCATGTGTTCAATCATAAATTTGTCAAAAATCTCAGTCAGCGCCGTTGCAGCAAAGGAGCAAACTGACGAACTGCAACACACAAGCTCAGCAGCAAATAAAAAACCAAAGCCAGCGCAGGATGTTTGACTGCAGTCACACAGCAGCACAGTGACGGACTGCAGCTTCACAGAAGGACAGATCAGCAGCGCACAAAGAGCAGAGGGAAGCCACAGCTACGAAGAGAAGCACAGCAACAATGGGGGGGAGGAAGCAGTGAAGCACAGAGAAATGATCCAACTTGCTTTGTTTTTATTTTTTCTTGATGGCAACTCAGCAAAGCAGGCTTTTACTGCATTGCAACAAATACACAAAGGGGATATGAAGTAACTTGAGGGTGTGTTGTCGAACACAAATTCAGACACACAAACAGAAGGAGGGAGTGCATTGCTGGTGGGGATCAGAGTAACTGGTTGTGAGACCGTAGCCAGCCAGAACTGAAGATTATACATATAAAGTGTTTTTCTATCCAGCTGACACACAGTGGAGACCTGAGGTGGGTGTTAGGACAGCCTCTCACCCATCTGTCCATTTTGTTTAACCCATTTTTGGAGAAAACCCATGAGAACATGCAAACCACACAGAAAGAGCAGGAGGCGAACCTGCGATCTTGTCGCTGTAAGGCGACAGCGCTAATCACTGGTCTGAGAACATAACCCATTAAAGGAAGTGGAAGATGAAGGATACAGGGGCCACTTGGACACATAAGGACGGGACAGTGGTGGTACCTGCAAGGCCCCTGTGGGTGGACGTTTCCCGTGTCCGGCTCCGTTTCCTGTTCCTGCCCGCGTTTGATTGGGCCCCCAGTGCTCCTCATGCACGCAGCTACAGCCAATCCGCTATGAGCGTTAGCCTCATGCAGGGGTCTGAGCACAGCTGAGGACGTTAACAAGAGTGGAAGATAAAAAAGAGAAAAGAGAAATATATAACGACAGAGCGGCAGCAAAACCTGTGAGTGAGCACAAGAAAGAAACGACGAGGAAGACCGACAGATTAAACAGAAGCAGAGCAGAATGAGCATTTTGCATTATTTTAATATTTATATTTGCAGGGGAAGACTTTGTGTGTTACACTCCTGCTCTATAAGTTCTATAAGCTTTAAGTTATAAACTGCTATATTTGGTTTCTGCACAGACAGCGCCTCATCTTACACCAACTGAGACAAGTTAGCAAAAGCTCATAAGAAGCATTTTATTTAAAAAAAACATCTGATCAATTGGTTTAAAATTGTGCTGTTTGTAGCAATAACAGTCAGCTCTTCTTGCAGAAACCTGATAAAACATTCAGCAGATGCTTTGATTCTGGCTCGAGTTAGATGAATTTAGAAGCTGCAGTGCAGGATTTTGTTCCAAATTATGACACCAGATTAGCTTTAGCTGGGATTTGCCTTTTCCAAAATTAAAGTGACTGAATAACACATTATATTTCAGCGCATTTTGAGGACCTGTGATGTGAAGTGACAATTGCACTTCCTGTTGTGAGTCTGAGCCTTTGGTTGTTGCATAAAAAATCCTGGATTCTGATAGTGAGGCTGCAGTAGTTGTTGGTTTTGGGTGCTAATGTGTGTTCATTTGACTGCACTGTTAAATAAATAGCCCATGACTGAATTTTATTGGAACTTTTAGAAAATAATTACTGGATGTGCATCTATAACTCATGAACTTTAGAGGTCAACTTGATTCAGAATGGCTGCCACAGCAAAGCAATGTTAGCAAATACAACAATGACTGTAATTCAGCCAATGTTACAGATTGTGAGCTACAATTTGGTGTGGTAGTACTTGAGTTATTCACATATCATACGCCAAAGGCTAAAAGATCATATGAGAGATCACATAAGATTGTGTATGATGTTGTTTTTATGGTTTGACTTATAAAGCTTGAACTCATCATTTGACAACGGAACATACACTGCCTGGCCAAAGAATAAAAGTTGCTACTATTAAAAAAAAAAAAAAAGGTCACACACTAATATTTCATTGGACCGCCTTTAGCTTTGATTACAGCATGCATTCACTGTGACATTGTTTCGATAAGCTTCTGCACTGTCACAAGATCTATTTCCATCCAGTGTTGCATTAATTTTCACCAAGATCTTGCAGTGATGACTCGGCACTAGGCATGATGCGTGCATCACTTCACCTGCCTCTCTTCTTACCCTGATGTGCCCATCACTCTGGAACAGGGTCATTCTGGACTCATCAGACCACATGACCTTCTTCCATTGCTCCAGAGTCCAATCTTTATGCTCTCTAGCAAACTGAAGCCTTTTTTTTTCAGTTAGCTTCACTGATTAGTGGTTTTCTTAAGGCTACACAGCTGTTCAATTTGAGTTCACTTCACATTGTGCGTGTGGAAATGTTCTTACTTTCACTGTTAAACACAGCCCTGAGTGCTACTGTTGTTTTTTTTCTATTTGATTTCACCAAACGTTTAAGTGATCGCAGATCACGATCATTCAGGATTTTTTTCCAGCCGCATTTCTTCCTCGAAGACGATGGGTCCCCACTATCCTTCCAGTTTTTAATAATGCGTTGGACAGTTCTTAACCCAGTTTTAGTAGTTTCTACAATCTCCTTTTAGATGTTTTCTCTGCTTGATGCCAATGATTTGACCCTTCTCCAACAGACTGACATCTTTTCCACGACCACACGATGTGTCTTTCAACATGTTTGTTTAAGAAATGAGAAGTAACTCATTGCACCAGTTGGAGTTAAATAACTTGTTGCAGATGAAAGATAATCACCCATGCAGTAATTATCCAATAGGAGGATCGTACCTATTTGCTTAGTTAAATCTAGATAGTGACTTTTTTTTTTTTGGCCAGGCAGTGTAGTTAAACTGGGTTTCTTTTTCAGAAATAGATCCTGTCTAACTCTGAACGCTAGGAAACACCTTGTAACTGCAACTTTCCTTCCCTCCATTGATTACGGTGACATTATCTACAACGCTCCTACGAGCACCCTGCAGATGTTGGACTCTGTCTATCACGGTGCGCTAAGATTCACAACTGGCTGTAACTACCATACCCACCATTGCACCCAGTATTCACTGGTTAACTGGACATCATTAACTTCACGCAGACTCTCTCACTGGTACATTTTCATATTTAAATCACTTCTTGGTCTGCTGCCTTCATACATCTCCTACATGTCACTGCGTGAGTGCAGCTACAGCGTGCGCTCTCAGGACATTATTACCTGCAGTGTTCTCTCAGTGAGAACTGAACTAGGCAAAAGGGCCTTCTCCTACTTCGCTCTGTTTCCTGGAATATCTTTCAAAAAGATCTGAAGCTCTCGACCTTGACCTCTCTAAGTGGCTTCAAACTGTTAAGTTCAGGGCAAAAACCACTGCAGACATGTTCCTGTTTTTAGTTTTCTACATCACCTCATAATGTAGCTGTTTTTGTTTTGTTTTATTTTTAATTACCATTTTCTTTCATTTGTTCTTCTCAATTTATATGCTTTCTTTTATGATTGTCTACTGTTATCATCAACCATTGTTAAAATCAGATCTCTTGTAAATGAGTCCCTGAGGCTCAATGGGATTAACCTGTATAAATAAAGGTTGAATGAGTAATCCAAGGCCTTTAACTTACTATTATCTTTATTCTTAAGAATAGGTTTAGGAACTAAAATAAGGTTTTCTAAGTGACTTCAAGGGCTATAAACATTATGCTCTGTTAATAACCAGTACTATAATTGCACGTCTAATTAAATACTCATTTGTGTTTTATCGTCTTGTGAGTGCAGCATGATAGGTGTTAGATGAGTTTAATAAAGATTAGCAAAACAGAGGACAGGTATTTAAATAATACAGGCTAATTAAAGAAAAGTTTGGTTTTTAGTCTCTAACATTCTCTAACGTTGCGGCAGACGGGTTCGTGCATGACTGAATCCATCAATATGGATGCAGGAACCCAAACACTGTAACATAATTGTGCAGATAGGGACGCCGTCTGTTTGTCTACAAGTCATTCTTTTCATTTATCAAAGCTGAGAGTAATGATCTGTGTGTGTGCGTAAAAAGTCTTGGGTGAATAAAACACTGTGGCACGCACAGAAGGACAGAGAACGCAAGACGATAATCCCTGATATTGATTTAATTAGTGATGAGTTGGAGGGGAAAATATGAACACCTGCAGTTTACACAAATGATTACACCCCCACCCCCCACCCCCCGAGACACACAAACACAAAGCAGATCTTGGGGGTCACACAAACAGACATATGATTTATGGATGCAGGGACCAAATAGAAATTATTGAAAAGAAAACCTCCAGTGATTTCAAGTCACAGTTTCGCAACTGAAGCTGAGTGTTAACCTGAAAATACTCCTCGTAGGAAATATTTGACAACTGTTGTATGTCGGATGCCATTCTTGACACAACCTGAGCTCGAACCCGCAGCCTCAGGATTACAAGACCGCTGTACCACCCACCAGCTCCTCCACACCCTGTAGTTGTTGAAAGCAACAGGGCCGACAAAGCCTTCATCTGAAACTATCATCATTCTTATTATTATTAAAATACTAGAAAACTTTTCATACTGACCTGAATAAACTGGCACTATAAAACATCCAGTTGAAACCTGAGCTTGTTGAGGCATGAAAAAAGACTTAGACAACTGATTCAAAGGGATCTGAGAGGCTGAACAGTGCATTAAGCTTGATTATAACTGGTATTAAGCAGTTAAAGTGTTAACAGCATCAATAGCAGTGTGCTTACATTTGCTAACCAAGCACAAAAACCATTTGATGCTGATGTAGATTTGTTGGCTTTGATAATGTTTCCACCTTGTTAGTGGAGAAAGGAAAGTCAAGGGACTACTAAAGTCGGTTGGATTCATCCTCTGGGAAGCATGAATGGATGTATAAATGTCCACGTCGACTCAAGCAGCTGCCGCTGAGGTATTTGATTCAGGCTCTTTAAAAAATAATGTGATCTGACACTGATGATATCCATCTATATTCAGCCAGACTTCTAGTGCTATTGAGAAAAAAAAAGTGTAATCCTATCTCAAACATTGTCCCTCTATATTTTGCCCGTTCATGCCAGTGGCTAGTGTTAATTCTTTGTGATATATAAATAGAGAGAGAAGTGGTAGGGCTATCTGGGTGTTCAAACTGAGAATGTTGCAGGAAACAAGTGGTTGCACTAGAAAAAAATACTTAATAATGAGTTTTTTTATGTTAAAAATTACTCTAAAATCATTGTCAATCTTCTTTATCAACTATAAAAAGCTGCATCGCATTCAGCTGTGTCATGGTATATATCTGCATCTGGTTTGATAACATTAATGGCATCAGTGGTGGGCACAATTCCGCTATTCCACTAACAGCTAACAGCGCAGCAAAATTCACAAGCTTCTTGCTGTCTGTTGTGGGCGTGGCTCAAAGAGTCCGTTAGGCGTGCTATTGGCTTATTATGTGTACATGTGGCAAGACGTGATTAGTCGACTTAGCTTAAAACTGGAAGGAGACAAAGACGTGTGACGCAGACTGAGAGACAGTCGTCTTAGCGGTTAGTGGTGTAGCGTTAGCTTCTGCTAATTTTCTTTACCTGTTTGGCGGTTTAGCGCCAGCAAAGTTAATTTTTTAGTTAGCAGAATATGGGTTAGTGAAGGGCAGCACAGTGGCTCAGTTTGTAAAGCAGTTGCCTCTCAACGAGTAGGCCGCAATTTCAAATGCCAGTCAGGGATCTTTCTGGGTGGATGTTCTTTCTGTGCATGCGTGGGTTTTCTCCGGGTACTCCGGTTTCCTCCCACATACCGAAACCATGCATGTTAGGCTGATTGGTAACTTTAAGTGTCCCTAATTGTGAGTGAGAGAGTGAATGGTTGTTTGTCTCTGTGTCCATGAGATGGACTTGCAACCTGTCCTGGTTGTCCCCCGCCTCTTGCACAGTTATGGCTTGACATGGGCACCAGTGCTCCCAGTGGACTGAAAAGGAAGAAGCAAGTAAAAATAATGATGGATGGGTTAGTGAAGCTAACTTTTTGGTTAACTGTGCTCACCACTGCATGGCATATTAGAAATCCAATAAAAAAAATGTAGTAAAAGAATGATTGACTATTATTATTATCATTATTATTATTATTATTATTATTATTATTATTATTATTATTATTATTATTATTATTATTATTATTATTGGTTATCAGCTTCTCAAAAGGGTGTTTTGTTTTGCAGTGGCATATTTGAACTTGTACTCCTTGTAATTTCAAATCAAGAACCAAAACGTCTTAAAAATTAGGGGTTGGGGTAACACTAAAAAGCCTAAAAAGCAGGAGTATTATGTGGATGGCTCTGAGCATCCCAACACTTAGTCAAGTTTGTCCATAACAACTGAACGTATTTGAAAATGCTATGTCTCTGATCATAGTTGACCCAGATATGGACGCTCCAACATTTCCAATAAAGCTACAGTTAAACATTGTTCGAATCCCTCTCCGGATACATTTCAGAGTCTCCTCAAGTCGACGCCTGTCACACTTTGTGGTCCCCCAGTCCAGAATAAGACCACGCACAGGCTGTTAGTTGAGTAATTACCCTGGAACAGAGATATTCTCCAGAGTCGCAAAGAAAATGATACAACTGCTGCAACAAGCTGTTTACCAATCTTCACCAGCTTTGATGGAAATTGACCTGAGCGTGTGAAATTAGTTGAGGGACCTCGAAACAATCGCTTCAGCAGTCTTTTGTCTAAGATCGTGAAACTCACACAACAGAGGCACCGGATGCACAAAGACGTACACAGTTATTATAGATAGAATGTCAGCACACACATTTGGACTCGGGACAGCACAGCTCCCAAATTAAAATGGATTTAAAATAAGAATGAGTTTCTCAGCTCCGTTCTGGTCATCCCATGTGAGTTCCCACATTAGTTAAAAGGTGAACTAGAGGCTGTAATTTGTTTTCTGCTTTGTTCAGCTACACCAAACTCAGCTGGAGCCACTTAATACATACACACATTTAAATTACACAAACCTAACTTCCAAAAAATTATTTCAAAATCACCAGCGAAGATGAGAAGAGAGACAGTTCAACAAATGGGAATAAGCACCAAGCTGAGGTCAGACAAAAGCATGGACACGTGAGTGTGACTGTTCACAGGAAAACAGGTGACAGTTTGACCTTAAAGAGAACATACGGTGAAAAAAGTACTTTTTCTGTCTTTGATAGTTTATATTTAAAGGACTGAAGTCACTATAAGAACCCTGCCTCCTCATCTTCACTTTCTTGCTCCTAACTTTATTTTAAATCATGCTGCATTCACTGCACCTCAGAATTTGGAAGTCCTAACCTTTTTTTAACTGATGCTTTTTGCTTTGCTAATTGCTACCGATAATCTTTGTGAGCTACAGTAGTCCCTCGCTACTTGGCGGTTCGTTTTTCGCAGACTTGCTCTATCGCGGTTTTTCAAACTAAGACTGGACATGACACACAGCTGGCTGATTGGTGGATGAGCCGCACGATCGGCATGGAATTGTTATTTAAAATGAATTATTTTAAATTATTTAGCGCCTGCTGCACTCGTGTGCAGTCCACACTGCAGGATAAGTTTCCTCCTGCAGCTGATCAGCTGGTCTCCTGCAGAGCGGAGAAGTGGGCGTGGCCGAGAACGCTTGCAGGTGGCTGAGAGCGGCGGAGAGGGAAATCATGACATTCTGTGCTCTTTTAGAGCGTTTAGAAACATTGTTCAACATCTTTATCTATCTATCTACCTACCTATCTTGTCTGTCTGTCTGTCTGTCTGTCTTTTGTAAATACTAAAATAAACTACTACCTACTACTAGTATTACTATCCCTACTTCGCAGTTTTCCACTTATCGCGGGACTTCAGGGTACCGTTCCCCCGTGATAAACGAGGGACTACTGTACACAACTTCACAAAGATGAATAAAGTCAGACATAAACCCCAACCTGAAGCACCATACCTTGTTGCTCTTATTAAAAAAAAAAAAAAAAAACATCTAACGCCCTCCTAGACCGAGTTTTCTCATTTAATCCATACCCTGGTGCTGGAGCTGGTCCAGGTCCATGAATTTGCTGGGTCTGGGGTTAAATCCCTTGGCTGCCTCCTGTTCTGCCTCCTTCCGCTTCAGCTGCTCCTGTTGGCGGGCTCTCCTCACCACCTCCTCCTGCAGCTCGTCCAGCTCACTGCGCCCAGAGCCTAAAAAACAGAAGTAAACTAAAAGTCTATCATTCCTTGAAGGAACACAT